TTTTTAGAACTGCAGAACGATGAATCTTTTCATGCCATTGGTGTTGTGGTCATTGTGAAGAGTAACTAGCATGGGGAATTGTACAGCTCTCAGTTGTTACTGAAACCCAAAACAAAGAACTCAGCTCACCTTAGACACAAACTCATCTCTGTCACAGGCAGGTGAAGAGACTGAATGTGGGGCAGGCTGCACTGGATGTGTGCTGAAAGCCCTACCTGGCTGCTGACACCTGGCTGGGTTGGAAAGAGAAAGGAGTAGCGGGCTCTGGGACCTACTGCCTAAAGTGCAGGCCTGGCTCCACACCAGCTGCATATTCACATGGGATCAAGGGTCTAGTGCTTTCTGACCTTCTGATTCTTCAAGGGAAATCAGAAATCAATCACTTTATAGGCAGCACCACATATGTAAACACTGGCGATGAATTTGAGTGTTTATAGAAGTACCATGCAAATTGAAGATAGCATGTCTGCAGGATATGTTCAAGGCAAGAGCCCCCAGTTTTCTGCCCCTGTACAGCCACACTCTCTTGCCTTTTGAATTCTTCATTTTGTCTCCTAGGGAACTCACTGAATTGAAAGAACACCATACCACAATAGTGATTCTCATTTCACTTTCCACAGTTTTTTCACTTGTCCTTTGCTTCTTTATCCTAGTTGCTGTTTCTAATCCCAGACTTCTGTCATCAACTAGACTATTGGTTTTTCAAGTGAGACCTGTCTGTCCTCTTCTTTACACCTCCCTCCACGCCTCTCATATACAATAGACCATTAGTGCAGAGCTGTGTTGATGGAACTCTAGGTACCATGCAGGTCATTCGTAGAGTCGAGATGCTGCGCCTGTCTTGGTAGTTCTGTAGTCCTACTCATCCCACTTTTGTCACTCGCCTAACCTCTGAAATCCATTCTTTCCCCACACTGTTTTCCTGGGTCCGCCCATGGGGTGGTTTATACTCACCCCATCTCCAGGCTGCAGAACAGTTGTTACCTTGAAGACAGTCAGGCTCCTGCTTCTTGCTTCATATGAGTCACCATGGCACCATTCATCAGGGTTTTCTTGGCACAGCGTTGATTTTAAAGACTTCCTGTTGTCCTGCACTCTTCAGGGAGGTCACTGAGAAAAGTCCGTGTAGGGTTTTGGCCATTTTGAACCCTCTACTACATGGTTTGAAAACACTCCTACCTTGAGTGAACCCCTAATGGTTTGAAAACTGATTTCCATTGAAAATATCTTAGAAGAGCACTTAAAGGCAAGGTTGGTAGGTGATGTATCATCATTTAGAGCTGCTGTTCACCAGTATGTCCTACCTGTAAGAGACTAACAAAACCTTAATTTTAAGTGGAGTTCTGTCTAATTAAAGATGTAATATCTGGGCTTGTAGAGACGTCATTAGAGTTCTTAGTAACTATTCTAATGGTCACAAAGTATATTCTACATAATATTAAAGTTGGTTTATCTTTCACCCCTGACTCTAGGGAGAAGATTGCTTATTTCACCAGAGCAAAGATAAGCATCCCATCCTTGCCGGCTGATGACGTATAATTACATCGTTTAAGACATTATTTTTTCACCCAGTCACTTTCTTAGGGAAGGTGAAAAAGTGACCATTTGTCGTGTTTTGTTTGTAAAAACTGACAACTCTTAAAGAGCTTTTACTTCACATCAGACTTTCAGCACATTGATTTGTAAAATACCTTGAATGTAATTCTTATATGTTTTTTAAAAAGTTCCAATAACCAAAACGGAATCACCTGGTACAGATGTTGTACAATATGTGTGCATTACCTCTGCGCTTTAGTTGATAACAGTGGGATAGAGGCAGTACCACGGTATGTCCTGTGGAGCTTGCTGAGGTGAAGTAACTTGTTTAACGGAAGGTGGCTTTTGCTTTTTCCTTTGTCTGCCTGTGAGTCGACTGTGAAGATGGTAGCACTGCCATGTGACGTTTTTGTACCAGAGTGCAGCTCTTAGAGTTTGAAGTTAAACGTGCGCATAAGCTTCACTTCAGAGTTCCAAGTCCACCTGAAACAGGAATCCTGTTCATTTCCGTCACCTGTGGTGGAACACTTTGTTCCCTTAAAAACACTTTCCTTTTTGCCCTTTTACAATTGTCTAAAGAAAACAAAAACATACTGAGTAGAGAGAGAGAAAATCGCAAAGGAGTATATTTCTGGCACCACCGAAGATCATAAAATTTATGACATCGAGGGTAGAGGAGATGGCAGCAGGAAAACAGTCACCCTAGAATACACTAAAGTAGTCATCAGGTGAGCACCTACTGCTTCAAACTTAACCTGGATTTACATGCATGTTCTTGTCAGTTTCTGTGGTGTACCTGTAATGTGGTGTCTAGGTGTGAGGGTGGTGCCCAGTAGAAGAATGCCATGGCCTCGGTTCCAAGGATAGATAGTCAGTTCTAGGGTGTGGACGGAAGTGTATCAGGCTCCTCGTGAAACCAGAAACAGAGGAAAAGGAATCTTGACTGAATCAAAGTTGCCAGAAATGAAACAATACTGTATGATACAAACTTCCAAACAGGCTGCCAGAAATTCTTTGCAGCTCTTATTTTTAGGGGATTCAATCTATAATTTATGATGAAGACTGGGGAGACAAAGAAAGGAATATGACTAGGGGATTATTAATTTGAGACACAAGCTATATATAGTTTGTAAAACAAGCAAGCAAACTATTTTAAATGAACCCATTTAGATTAAAACTGATAAGATGTCCTCCAGTTTAGAATATTAGCTTATCTGATCCGAGCATTTCTTCAAAGAAACCAATCCTTAGTGTAGCTCTTCCAGCATAAAGGTTTCTATAATTAATATTTATACAATTAAAAGCACACTTATTCCTCAGTCTTTTATCCTGTAAGAAGCAGCTTCTATAGGAAGCTAAATAAAATATTTCAGAAACACAAAAATCATCTTAAAGTTGTGTTCTTAAGCAAGAAAGAATCCTGGCTAGCAAGAGTTATTTTTTTTTAAAGTAATTGTACACATTGGGAAAGCTGATTTTTATGAGAATCAAATTCAAATTAAGCAACTTCTGAGCCTAGGACTTAAATTAATAAGACAATAGAGCATGATTTTTCATAAGCATCCTACCACTTATATGCAATTGCCTCTGAAGTTATAACTGGATGTGACACTGTGTTGTACAGAAACCAACCTAGGGAATCGACAGAGTACAGTCCCTCAAGGCTGCCCAGCTCATTCTTTAAGATGACTACAGAAAACTAGAAGAACACAATTCATCTTTGTCAAGGTCCAATGTGAAAGACATTTTGAAGTTTATTTAATGTAGAGTTAAATGAAGGTCAGCTGTTTCAGCTTCTTAGTTTGGCCATAAAAATGTTTATAGAGTTATGTGTAGTTGTACCGTACGATTTTATTTTCTTCACTTATTTATTTACGGTCTTATTTATGTTCTGTTTAATATATAGTTCGGTTCTGGCCATTTTGACATAGAAGAGGCTAATATTGGAATATTTACAGCTTTATAAATCTTCATCAGATTAGCTGTTGACTTTTTTTTGTAATACAAAAAGTTTCAGACAAGTGTTAAAGAAAACAACCTGTCTCAGGCTGGTAGTTAATAGTTGGGACCAAGGTTTTTTATGTTTTGTTTTGCAAAATGTGTTCATTTCTAACATAAGAAGCAAATTTATTTTAATATAATCCTTTGTCCACATTTTTTTAAAAATCAGCAATAGCATTATGTATTTATAGGCAGCTTTTAACAGTCTATCATATTTGTACTAACCCAAGTGATTCACAATGACAAAACTTTCTAATAACTTGATCACACAGCCATATGGATAAGTATGAATTTTAATATTATAAATATTTTTAAGGTAGAATTTATTCTGCACACGGTGAAAAGAATGTTCATATCTAGTTCTCAACTTTGAATTACCAGTATGTTATTACAATTTTGTATATCAGAATCTAAATGTTACAGGTACAAAAAGAATAAATCTAGCCAACTGAACAAAGTTTAGCTGCGACTCTTTAGTATGTAAATCAGATAAATTTTAAAATCCTTTTTTTTTTTTTTTTGGCTATTGCTTTTTATTGTATTAAATATCAAAAGCTCAGGACTGAACTAAATATTTAATCAGGTTGAATTCTGAACATGTTCCTGTTTTAATTTGTTTGTAAAAGTATACAAATACATTATATAGATTAATTTTGGTTTCTGCACTTTCTATATGTTTGTGGGTAGAAAAATTCAGTGTTTTTTGTTTATTTTGTTTTTTTTTTTTCCAAACAAAGATACATATTGCCTAATATTTTATTTCAGTGTCATTTATTGTTCAGTTGCTTTCCCTGGTTGGCCCAAGCACAAGAGTGCACTTGAACCATATTCTGAGCAAATACAAAATCTTGCATGAGGCATTCCTCAAGCCAGCCGCTGTTTATGAATAGTTCTTGGTTGGATAATAAGGTAGTGCAGAGTTTTTAAAAGGTGGAGTGTTTTCCTTGTGCCGGTACAGAGCTCCAGAACATGTTCTCTGTCATTGCATGGCCTCAGCTGTCAGTCAGTGTCCCACGTAACACTCTACTCATACCACTGGTCCTAACCCAGGATGCTGCCCCAACGTCCCCTTCCTGGGACTGCTCCCCAGCCAGGGCAGGTGAAGATGTTGGCCATCAAATGCAGACAGAGAACAGGACATGGAACCAGAATCACATTTTTGTGGCCGATTTTACACATATCTTCAAAAACATGAGATTGCCCTCAGTTTGCTTCTGACATAGTAAACGAGGCGTGAATGACTGTGGTAGACTTTTGGAAAGAGCTTCACACAGGCAGTGAGTTCTTTGATTTAAAAGAGAAATGGTGTATCCCAAGTCTTTCACCTCCCAAGCTTTTAAAGAGCAGGTTGTTTCTTAGTCTAATCAGATGTCATGCATTTAAAATAAATGTGCAAGGAGACTTGAGTTTCATTATAATAGGTTGTCTTAAACACTTGAAAGAAGTAAATGATTAGCAATAACATTTCCAATTGCCAACACGATTCATCTCTGTATGAATGACACCTTTAAGGATATATAAGAACTAATATATTTTATTTACTAGTTCTTTGCAATCACTGAGCCTATTCTGAAACAGAGGAAACTCATCAACAGTAATAAGTATGATTACTATTAAGTCTTGATTGGTTTTGGTCTCAAAGTGGAAGGTAAAAGTGGTTCGCCAGCCTTAGAAAGAAATTACAGTTTTTAAGAAGCTAATTGCCACAGAAGAACAACTGCATTTTACAAAATTCAAAGCATAGTGGATGGGTGCCTGTTAGCAGAAACTCCTACCAAATCTAGAGTTGAGCAAGTCTCTCCTGAAGAGCAGATGCCACTGGTAACCTTCTGGCTTAGATTTTCAAATTGGTGTTTTTCATCTCGAGTTGTTGACAAGGACCTTGCACTTCTGCTGCCATGTAGTGTCCCGAAGCTAGAGGGGTGTGGGCTGAACAGCCCGCACAGTTAAGCAGAGACCCTCCTAGTACAAGAGAAAAGCCAGCAAACCAGCCAATAAACAGGGCTTCCCCAAACTCCCACCTGGGGACAATCTCGGGGATGGTCTCATCCCAAAACTCCTGAACCGTGATGTGGGCAATCCAGGAAACGGGAATGAGGGCTGTGACCCCTGAGATCCAGAACAGGACTCCTCCCAGGATTAGCAGTCGCTTCTTGAGGTCTTGCTGTCTCTCTCCAATCCTCAGGCAGTCCAGGCCAAACCCAGAGACCAGCAGTCCCAGAAATCCAAACCCATTTGACAGAAACATTAAAATCCTGGAGATCTTGAGTTCAACAGGCAAAGCCAAGAAAGAATCAAAGTCCTTGCATTGCATCCCACCTTCCTCTTGGATGACACAAGTTTGCCAGAGTCCCATGGTCCAGTTCTCCATCTCATTCAAATCTAGATTGAGGTTTTTCCATTGTGGCAGGTAGTTGGTAAGACAGGATAAAACCCATCCCAGCAAAGAGAATGAAACCCCAGCTATTTGTGCCAGAGTTCTAAATCCTAAGGTCATTTCAGAGACCTGTGAGCATTAACCAAGCTAATCCCTGCCCTACTGCTGCTGCTGCTGTGAAAAGAGCAGAACTGTAACTGCTGAGTTATCACTTGCAGAGCTCAGATTTTTTTTTTTTTTTTCCATTGTGTATATAGGAGGATTCTTGCCAAAGTTGCTATTGTTTGATCCTATATTGACTAGGTTTCAGAAAAGGATACAAGGAAACTATGCTGCAAACCACTAATGCCCAAGGTGTGGCCAAGATTATGTCCACGTCCTATGAGCTGAGCTTTATGGGCAGTCATTTGTCACCAAAACAAAACGAAGTCATAGTCATCCTCTTTTCATCGTTAAAGTATAAATGGCTTTTGTGTAGTTTCTAACCTTTCTGACCAATCCAAGAATGAAGTCTAAACTCAAGAGTGTTTAATTGACCTTTGTGGCTCAATTCTTACGGCTTTCTGTCTGACTGACTGCCCCTGTCAGAGTCTCGTCGGCTGTAGCTCTCACGCTTCACTACATATGTTGTGGTAAAACTGGGTTTTATCCGTTTTTGAAAACAGAATCAAGAAAAATATTTCTTAATCAAATAAATCAATCTTATCAGAAATCTCTTCAGTTCTTAAATCAAAAGCTGATTATTTTTTGAATCCCTTAGGCTACATATTTCCCATGACACATGAAACAATAACTAAACATAATCGTAAATCGGTTTATCTACATGCCTGTCTGTCAGATCCCTGCACATGTACATAACACTTGTATGTTTTCTGTGGATTTTTGTTTTTGTGTTTGCTTTGCTTTGCTTAAATATGCTTTCTACGTTGTGTAAAGCTTAAACAGTAGGACTTTTATAGGTTAGAATGAAAGTCTCTGCTCACCACTAAAGTCTATACCCCTATGCTTATCATTTATAATTGAAGACATCAAATTTTCCATTACAGCAAAAGAGCTGCCACTATCTGGATGTCAGGAAAAGCCCTTTGGGAATTGCTTTTCTGATTATGAAACTTTGGAGGGAAGAGATGAGAGGTCACATTGGCCAGTATTTTTCGTATTATAATGAGAATCTTCAGTCCATAATAAATACCCTGTCACAAAGGATGCCTAATAATTCCGTAAACACAAACCACCTCTATTCAATAAAGAAAAGTAATTGTTGTGGAAATACCACTTTGGGCTTGCCATAACATGTGATCTTGCTGTGCAGAACCCCTAAAAGATTTCAGTAGAAAGATTCGTTAGGTTATTCTTTAGGAAATTTGTCATTTTCAGCTACTAGCAAGACCAACATCAGCTGTTAATAAAAGTTAGTACATTAAAAAGCTTAAGATTACATCTGTTGGACTATCACCACATTTTGATTTTAAAAATCAGACCAAGCCAAGTTTTTGCTCATACATATGTTATGCTTGGAGTCCTGGTATGGCGCAGTAGGATAAACACTGGATTGTTACCCTCAAGGTTGGCAGTTCAAACCCACCAGTCACTCCTCAGAAACCCTCTACAGGGTTGCTGTGAGTCAGGACTGACTTGACACTTACCCACCAACAACAAAGTGATGCTTTACATGCAGTTTTATATGTTAGACTTTTTCTCATTTCTCCAGATAGGGGGAAGAAGAAGAAATGTAGTCAAACATAGTTACTGAATAAGAAAGTGTAGCAGCACAGATGTAGCTATGTAACAAAGACCCCTTTGTCTTCACAAGATTAAGAGACGAAAGCTGCATGTCTGGCCTTCTGATAAGTCTTACACTTTAGGATCTGCAGTTCCATTTTCCAGATATGGACACTGAGCTTCTATTTCTGCCACTGCATAGTGGCCCGAAGCTAGAGGGGTGTGGGCTGAACAG